TGCCAGCTGTTAGATCCAAGGCAGATGGGCTTTGCTCTGCTCTGTCAATGCTTGTGACTGGCCAATAATCACACAGCACAATAGCCAGATTCCACCAGTGAGAGGCAGAGCAGAGAGACAGTTTTTTCCTGGCATTTGTTGTTCTTTGGATGCTATCTACACTGAAGATTTAGATCAAGTTAATATAGCTGGCCATATGCTCTGTACACTGTGGTTATATAGCATTGTCTTGGTTGCTAGCTACTTTGGATGCTGTGGTGGTTAAGCAAATTGTTGCCCAAGCCACCAACCACATTTTTCATATAAGCTCTGACTTACTAACTTCTTTCCCCCTTCTTCCACTTCAGAAAACTGTGCTGTGATATAATGTGCTATGCCACTAAGTTCAAATTATCTAGATTTTGGTTAGCTCATCAACCCCAAGGATACTTTTATACCTTTCTTTCCCTTACTGACTCACTCACATGTGGTTATAGACTGCTCGCTTACCAAGTCAATGGTCTAGGACTGAAATGTTGGGTCTTATGAGTAGATCTGAGAAGACCTAGGAGGTCTTCCTGCTGCCCTTCACCTCCCCACATCCTTCTTGGTTTAACACAATCACTATTTCGAGTTAAATGCACGTCGTAACTTCTGTGCATTGAGCAGTCTCTCTACTTTTGAAGCAGTGAACTGCCCCCAAGAAAAGCAATATATGGCCAAATATTGTTACCCATGTATATAAAATTATTTCATTATCTGAAAAAAGAGAGAGAGAGGACATGAGAACATTAAGCAGCTTACAAGGGGAGTAGGGGAGGGGCTGAAAAGGAGGTGAGAAATGAACAGGAGCTGTGGCCTGTGAAGTGCAGACTCAGGATGGGCCCTAGGACTGTAGCTATTGAGCAAAGACCTATGTTCTTCCCATGCGCCATCACCATCTCCCAGAGTCAGCACAGCAGATGAGAGGTTCCATCTAGGACTCACTCACAGCTTGGTGGACTTCTTGCTCATTTTTCTGTGGCATATGCTTCAAAATGTTAAAAGCCGTTTCTGGATGTGTAGCTAGAGTAGTGGTTCAAATTGGGCACTTCTTTCTCAAAAGACCCTTGGTAGGCAAATAGGTCATCTGTAACTTTTAACTACTGGCAGAAAATTAAATCTAAGATCTGATCATATTAAATTTCCAGACACAAAGTAAGGGTTACATTTCCACATTAAGAGCCATCATATTTGTTTCTTTAAAGGTATGCAAATCAAAAGTTTCTAAACAGGATATACCCATTTTAGAGAGTTTAAAGTAGATAGGAATTGGTAATGGCATCTTTATACTTAAATTTTATAATATGAAACCATTTTTTTTAAAGCATAGAAGAGGGGCTGCATTTAACGAAAGAATAGGTAGAGAGTATGCATACCAGTAACTTTAGGTATTTAAGAATAAAATACAATTAGTGCAGTTTTAAATTTGACTAATTAAATTCTGCCAAACATTTGCATATCTCCAAGGGATATGGACACTAAAAGCCACTAGAATTTATTTTCTATTAGGCGTATACTGACTGGTCATGTGGACATTTTATGTTTTTGGTTATAAACTGTAAGTCTTCAGATTTGAAAGCATAGTGGCTTTGTGTAACTGGATGTAATTATTCCCGACAGGGTTTAAATCAACTTCTTAGCAATGTTTTACAGATTACTTTGAAAGAAGCCATGTAAAAGAGGCTTGGTCATAGAAAGATTCTAAACTCAGTCACTTCTCTTGTTGACTTAGTTTAGATTATTTCCAGTTGATCTGTGTTTTCTACTTTCTAAAGCTAAAAGCTGCATTTTTTTTTGTACTCCAAAAGTATGTGTCTAAAAATCTGTCCAATTAGGTGCATTGCTTTAGAGAGTTATCCTGTTGCCACTGATTTAAAAGGAAAAAAACACACAAAAACCAGTAAACCTGCCAAGTGTGGGGGTAAAAGTTGGAAGGAGATTTATATGCTGTTGGAGGAAGATAGTTCATTATTGTAGGAAGATTTGGAATAGATTACTGGTATAGTCAGTTCCTGAGTGTGAAATACCACTCTCTAATATAGCATTTTAGAAGAAAATTAATAAAAGATGAATGTGAAGAAAAATGCATCTTCATAAAATATAGACTGTTTATTCAGCTGTGTATTCAAGGACTTTAATTTTTACTTCATAAAAAAAGCATTCTAAAATTCTAAAACTGAAATGTACCCCAAAATGCCCTAATTCCTAGTTTTTAAGAAGTCTGAGAGGCATAAACAAATTAAGTCAATTTATAATTCTTAGCACTTAGCCCAGTCTCTCATAAACACAGTGCCTTGTATTTAGTAGCTATTCTCTGTTGAATGAATGAATGAGTGATTGAATGAATGATTTGCCAACCACATTTAGCTGGCATTTTTGGTTAGTTTACTATGTAACTTTAAGCTAATTACTGGATCCCACCAAAGAGCAAAAACAGCCTTAAAAATAAAGGTCCAGAACAAAGATATAAGATTGTGGATAATTTTTATTTTGTTCTTTGTGGTTTTGTATATTTTTCAGATTTTTAACAATAAATGTTATATAGCTAATTTTCTTCAAGATACATACAGGGCTAGACTTTATCTTAAAATGAAATATAAATCTCACCTCTAATAACTAATATCTGTGATACAAATTGCAGAGGCCTTGCTTTTACATTAAAGGCTACTTTTAAAAACTAATGTAATTATAACCAAACAACAGTTCTAGGGTTAATTTAAAGGAAGTAGAATTTTACCTTAACCTGTAGAAACTGAATTAATGTTTCGGCCACTGATACAAAGCAACATCGGTTCCATTTTCTAGTTTTGAAAATGTTTATCATTTTATGAAAAAGAAGCAAGATACTAAACTGAATGCCAACTTTTTGTTGCAAGTATAATCGCATTGTTTTTATTATTAAACATGTTTATAAAAGTTGGGTAAAGTTGTAAGTCTTTTATGTAAGTGGGTGGTTTGAGTCTTTTCTCTCCAAGTATAATCACATTTGAATGACTTAAAATAAAAAGAGCTATGCTGACCAATAAAAATAATCCCCTGCTCTCCCTAATATTGAACCCAGGTGGATGGATATTCTGAGCCACTGTGGCAGTTGAGACTTGAATCCTATGATTAATGGTAGAGATTTTTCTCTAGGTAGATCACATGGACTTAGTTATCTGCCCACTGGAATGACACAATGGGGAGATATCTGATGAATATTGTGGAACATCTGTGAATGGATCTCAGCTATGCCTGATGTGAATCATTCTTCCCTCAAAAATCTAAAGTTTAATAGTTAAAAAGTTCCAAACTGTTGTCGCATAAACTGAGATGTTTGGCCTTTTCTAGGGGTTGGGAGGGAGTGAATATAACGCAAACTCGAAGACCTTTTGCTAGTAAGTCATTTGGCTCTGTTTTAAACCCCTAAATTCAGGAAAACCTAAAGAGTTGTTGAAGATCATTAGTGAGAGCCTTGTGTCACTCACGCAAGTAATAAAATATACCTTCTTCAACTGATCTCCACCTTCATGGAGCCTACAGGACGTAATGGCTTCCCTACCAAGGGAATAGATTTCCTAGCTTTCAATTCAACAAGCTTAGTTAAAAGGGTGTAAAACATGATGACTGAGGCACTCAGAATTTCTGTGACTCTTTCGGAACTTTGGGGAAAGCAGTTGGTGTCCATCTCTTTAGATGACAATTTTCTTTACTATTGTAAATGATCCTGTTTCACACTGATTTTCCTAATTTGAGATCGCACTCTTTTCTTCAGGGTACTATTAAAAGCAACTCAAAACAAAACAAAACAAAACCTGAAGGTTTGTGTGGCACAAGCTAGGTGTGGAGCCATGGTTTCCTAGGTACTGCTAATGCTACTTTCACAACTCTTTCTGGTAATGTAGCCTTCCTGGTTATTGAGATGGGTTGGTGAGTAGGGGAATAGCTCAGTCTGTGCTTTGACTCCAACCCCAAGAGTAGCCTGCTACCTCTATATGATCTGAAACACTTGGCATTGTCTTATAGTTTGACTTTTTCTCTGACATCTTGATATACTTATCTTTGCTTCTTTTGATTCCTCGACACTAAAGAGAAAATGAGTTTACATAAAGTCTATACACCAGGGATGTTTGCAAATAAGAGTGTTTGTGTGTGTGCTTGTGTTTTGTGAAATGTGAGCAAGTTGTGGTGGATGTCTTTGGCAATAAATAATAAATATATATTTAGAATTTGACAAGTTTTATAATGAGAATGTTTTTAGCTGTGGCAAACATTTTTAAGAATTTTTAAGAATAAGTAATTTATAAGCTAATGTTTTATGGAATATATATATATATATATATATATATGTATACACATAGTCTGCTTGACAATGTGTAATGAACAGGGGACCATTTCTGTTAAAGCAAATAGACTAATGGGTTGTAGCCCAAAAGATCTTAACTGCAATCTTTGAATTCTAGACTTTGTGGGCTGTTAGAGATATAAGTCTACAAGCGGGAGAAAAAAATGGAATGTCTGAATGTGATGTGTTCCTAACAAAGATTAAATTAATGGGATTTGTCCTACAAAATATCAAAAAGTAAATTTGTTCCTATTGTTTTGTTTTTAAATAAATATACAACCATTGTTTTGCATTGAAATGGATATTAATACATTTTATCTGATGATATTTGGGGGAAATGAAGGTTTGATTATTTTTTTTAAGGAAAGCATGAAGAAGATTATTCTAATGGGAATACTAATTGTTTAAAATTGCCAATAGTTTCTTTTCCGAACTTGAAAACAGTTGTTTCTAAATACGAGAACAATGATTTTGCCTAAATTTGCAGTATGATGACCAGGACTTCTCTCCTTTTTAGAGAAGCAGTCAAGTGTTTCTGGAACAGATAAGACAGCAGCGATCCACTGAGGTTGATTCCCACAGAGGAAAGCTATGCAGACCTAACTTACCGGAAGGTAAACAACTCTTCGATTAACGATGTTCTCCTTTTCTCAAGGTGTCCAGAGACAAGAGGTGGTCTGTAAAAGGTTGGATGACAACTCCATTGTCCAGAACAATTACTGTGACCCTGACAGTAAGCCACCTGAAAATCAAAGAACCTGCAACACTGAGCCCTGCCCACCTGAGTAAGTAAGAGAAAGAAGTGGGTATTATTTTCTCCAAAGAGAAAAACATTAGATATTCACATATGGAAACATATTCATATGATATGAATAAATTAAACTAAGAAAAGGGGATAAAACATCACAGAGGATGGCATTTTGATGTCCCTTTCATTGAGCAAAGATTCCTATTTATCCATAGGTTTCATGTAACTCCTTTAAAGCAGGAACTTCAGTAGGGTGATCCGGGTGCAATGCTGGAAAGCATCCTATTTCACCCATCCTCTGGCACCCACCTTTTCATACTTTAACATCTCTCACATTGGGGTTCATCTTGCAACTGACTGTCTTACAATAATAATCAGTATTATTTTTTTCTTAATTATACATAAAATAATGGTATCTTAGATTAAGTAAAATATAGTAGATTTGTGTGCAATCCTGTCTTTTTCAGGTGTTTATCCTAAAGGCCTAAAGACTTTTAAAGTGGTTTAGAAATGTCCTATCATGGAATCTCAGTGTTTTACCTTGCTCACCCACTTTAAAGTTCTGTCATACCTTCTGAGGGTCGGGCACAGGCATAGAGGTTGACTTCAGTCTCTTTTTGTTGATTAATGTAGCAGTTACAGCTTACTGTGAAGGGAGGGACAAGCAAAGAGTCAATTCATCCTAGTTATGACTTAAAGAATTAAAATTTTGAACTATGAGACCTGCTATAAGTGAACCACATGTTATCATCTGTAAGAACACAAAGGCTTCTTGACTGAGCAAAAGACATTGGTTATATGAAAACAGACAAAGTTGCTGAGTTGTGCATGAAAATACTGATCTGGGTAGGGATTTTGCCTGTTTGACAACCGCATCACAGAACATGTGTGAATGGCATTTTGTTCCAGTTTCAGAGTAACCATTATCTCCCCCGACACCCCCC